TTATATTGAGATTATGGTAAGTTGGTATGCGAATAAGTGGTAGGTGTGCCGTGACGGTTCAGAAGTGGAAATGTTATTTTAGGATTACAGATATGAGATATTATTACATTCTTCACAAACATCCATTTCTTGCCATACACTCATCCTGTGAGTTTTGGGACCACCAATCTTTTCTGCACAGACTTAGCTTACTGGTTCAGTAGATAGTATTTGAGATCGAGAAGAGGCCAATATTCGAACTTCGAGAGTGACACGCAATGCTGAAATTATACTTAAAATGAACAGATCTCTTGTATACTGTCTGAGCCATTGAATAAAATTACCGTAATTTACATCTTCTTAAATTTTTTATCAGATCAGGGTGTGAAAGACCCTACGATTTAACTTTTGGGATCTGTCTTTCACGAGACTTTATTTGCAACATCCACAATAGCTTATGATGTTTCTATTCCTTATTAACGTAAGTTGACAAAACTTTCACTAAATCCCATGTATATATTCATATCTTTAGGGGCCGTTTGGTTCACGGAATGTTAGATTACCTTAGGGAATGTAAGATTACCTTAGGGAATGTTAGATTGCTGGGAATGTTAGATTACTGGGAATGTTAGATTCCCGTGTTTGGTTAAAATTGAGGTATGTAATATTATCATGTTTGGTTTAGGGTTATCTTTATATATATATATATATATATATATATATATATATATATATATATATATATATATATATATATATATATATATATATATCTAATATCCTTAACATATTTTCATATATTTTAATAAATTTAATCATTAAATTAAATAAATAAGATAACGGTATCATATTAATAATAATAATAAGCTAACATAAAATATATATCTTTAAATAATTAGAATTAAAATGACAAAATTCATAAATATGCAAGGTTATCTTACATTACCTAACAAAATGAAGGGAATCACATTCCCTTCAAAATCCTATGTGGAGGGAATGTTACATTCCCTGGGAATGTTATATTCCCTCAGAGAAAATGAACCAAACATAGGAATGTAAGCTCGGGAATGTCACATTCCCTTGGTTATATAATATAACCTGAACCAAACGCCCCCTTAAAGTATTTCATTGTTCCCAAACTCATCATGTCGCATTATATTGTCGCTGTAACCCCCATACTGGCATCTGAATTGGTTGCCAATATCTCTGGTGCAAAACTCTTCTATATATTTATATACGAAATAGTAATTTAATTTAAATCCTTTAATTATTAATTAACTTCATCATTCAATTTTTTATAAGGTTTGATTTCTTACTAATGAAGACCATTAAAATCTCACATTTGTATGCCACGTGTACAGTCAGTTAATCAACATACGAAATTACAGATATATAGAATTGTAATTTATAATTTTAAATCATTAAATTAATCTTTGTTAACAAGTCGAGAAAGTAATTAAACTCGTCAAATCATGAAAAGAGGGGGCGAAATTGTCAAGTCAAAAAAATTGAAAGATTAATAATTTTATTTTTTATGAGGCAGAAAGGGTGCAATGTGTAAATTGCATATACTATCTAAGGTTGTGCGCTAAGTAAACCTCGTACTTATGTAATAACTTGCAAATCACACATGAGAGATAAACTTTACTAGGAAGACCTTGTGAGATGCAATAGGCGAGGCACAACTGAGAGGTACATATAGGCAAGAATAAAATTTGTAGCCTTTAGGTATAAGCATATTTGGATTACTTGTCAACAATGATAAAATTGAGCGACTAAAATTACTATTTTATTTCTAGACAAAAAATACTTTTCTCTGTTTTATTTTTATTTATTTTTTATGTGCTATAATTTTTTTATTTTATGTACCGTACTTTTTTTTTTTTTATGGATTCGAATTTCGGTCAGATCCTAGTTGACACCTTTGTAGATGGATTAATACCATAGTTTTTTTTTTACAAATTCGAGTTATTAATGTCTTTCTTGAGATTTTTTTTTTTTTTTTTTTTTTTTGGTGGGGACCTTTCTTGATTTATGATTTGATATTCTAATAACATCTAGAGTAGGGCCCAAGACCTGTTCCTAGACAAATTATTGTGTGGACCCAGGTACACCTTGTAAGGTGAATTCTGATCCAAAATATACAATTTATCTACTGAATATTCACAATTTACATATTGAATGTTCACAATTTTGTAAAAGGTAAATTGTGAATATTTAGCATGTAAATTGTAAACATTTAATATATAAATTATGTATTTTGGACTCGGGTCCACCTTGCAAGGTGGACCCTGGTCCATGGTATAACAACAGCTGTTCCTAATCCAACCATCTTATATTTGTGAATTTCCCATAAAGCCCAACATCACACAAGTATGAAACCTCTTCCTCTCATTTCATTCCCATCTTATCCAAGTTCACAGCAAAAGGCAAAAAGCAAATAATGCTAATATTTCTCAAAAATAATGAAAAAAAAAAAAATCAGTCAAAAGTTCACACTATACTATCCATATATCATTAGGAGCTGCATCTCTTTCTGCTAAGATAAAGAAATGGCAGCTTCATCACTCTCACTGCCTGTGGCTTCATCTGCCTTACCAAAAAGAGTCAGTATATATAATTACCATTTTACATTCTTGAACTTTTCTTTTACATATTTCTCTTGATTATTGCTGAGACTGAATTGCAGATAAATAGGGCAACACCAAAACCTTGTTCATTGGCTCCCCAGAACATCATAGTATCATCCTCAAAGGACAACACCTCTCCTGATGAATCCAGTAAGAATACTAAGAATACATCTTACTGCTCAATTAGTTCATGAATAGTAGATTGTGGATAAGAACACAAAATTGAACCCCGAGAGTCATCCCTAATGTGACGGGCTCTTTGTGGGCAACATGCATTGGCCCTTTCACCTAATGAATCGTTGAGTACTTGATTTACCTCTCCACTATTTTGTCTGGTCGGGGTGTGGGGCCTGGTAGCTAGCAAGGGAATTTCGACTTTGTGGGCAAGAATACCTCCTGCTTGGCAGATAAATTTCAGCATTTTAAGAATGGGTTTTTGAATTTATGTTATTCTTGTTTAATTATGATAGGGAATTGTAAGAGAAGGCCACTGTTATTGGGACTAGGAGCATTGTCTTCATTAAGTTTGCTCCCTGCAAATCCCCTCTTGGCTGAAGGTATAGAGTCTTAACAACATCACATTAGGTGTAATCTCATGGAGAAATTTTCTTTGATTCGATTTGTGTTTCTTGGATGTGTACACCAGTGCCAGAGAGATTTTCAGCTTTTGTTGACAAAGAAGATGGTTATGCCTATTACTATCCTTCAGATTGGACAGTAAGTCTTCACCTTATATCATAGTGTCAATAATTAAAATATCGGGGCAACCCAACCAAGGTAGACAGTTGATTTGGTAACCACAAGGTTCCAAGTTTAACTCTCAGGAGCGGCCTTTTAACTTTTATGGTTCGAGTAAGCCAACTATGGGCAAGCTAAGGTCATGAGGCAGGTCTTACTTAGCGGCTTAGCGCATAACCTCAGATAGTAAATGTGGGTTTCCCTCGTCATTCAAAAAAACAGAATAATTAAGATGTGTGTTTCTGGGCAGGACTTTGATTTTAGAGGGCATGATTCTGCATTTAAGGACAGACATTTACAGTTGCAAAATGTTAGGGTGAATTTTATACCAACTGAGCAGTCAGACATCCATGATTTGGGTCCAATACAAGAGGTGATGACATTAATTTTTGTTATTTTTTAGATTTTTCTTTCAATTTATTATGAACTTCTAATGTCTTAATTAACTTTGTTTTTTTGTTAACTGTATTACAGACAGTGTACAGGCTAGTTACACATGTTTATGCAGCTCCAAGTCAAGTAGCAACCATAATGGATGTTCAGGAAGTATGTTCTTCTTCTTCTTCTTCTTCATTCCTTTTTCTCCATTTTTTGGGAATGAATAAGCATTGATTGCAGAAAGTATATATTGACTTTGTACAGAAAACTATAGAAGGCAAAAACTACTGCACCTTTGAATATGTACTCACTTCTGTAAACTTTTCAAGAGCCGCATTTGCAACCATAGCTGTTGGAAATGGTATACTCTCTCTCTCTCTCTCTCTCTCTCTCTGAATTACACATTATTTGTCTATGCTCCCGTCTCAACTAAAATCCTAAACTGATAGTTAGACTACATTATGTTTATATATTATATGCTTAACAGTCATAATACGTTTTAACTAAAAAGTATTATACATCTTATGACGAGACAGTCTCACACAAAATTTATTCTTCAATACTAAAAGTCTTGTGTAAGACGTCTCACATGAGATATACAATACTTTTAGTTAAAATGTACCAGTAACATTTTTCTATGCACTCATAAAAAATACAGAGTATTACATTTTAACTAAAAAATATTATACATCTCACGGTCAGACATTCTCACACAAGACTTGTTCTAATACTAAAGTTTGGGATGAAGTACACATTTTAATTCCCATATTTTGAGCAGGGAGATTCTACACCTTGGTAGTTGGAGCAAATGAAAGGAGATGGAGAAGGTTTAGAAACAAGCTTAAAGTTGTGGCAGACTCTTTCAAGTTGCTAGACATCTAAACTTCTCATTGTAATGGATTCTCTTACCAATTTTCTGGCAGAGAACAACAACCTGTATATATGTATTATAACTCCCAACATTCAATATATGTAACTGAGATGAATAACAGGGGTGGCAGGAATGAACAACATTTTATGCAGGAAACCTGTATATATGTATTAATGTATGTAACTGAGATGAATAACAGGGCAAGAATGAAGAACATTTTATGCAGGAAATCAAGTGAATAAGCTCAGTTCAGTCTACTCCTTTCTAAGTCAAAAGGGTACAGTGAATGCCTTTCCACTTCTATTCTGGGATTTCTATGCCATCCATGTAAGAAAAATTGTAAAAGAACCGACTACAACAACGCGAATTAAGCACACCCAAAATGAAAGATGGAGAAAATGGAATAAGAGAAGCTAGATCCATTCTGTAATTAACAAATCAATATACCATTCAAAGAGACAGGGATTCAGTTCCTAGTCTGGGACTCAATTCCTGCCTCCAAAAGAATATGATTCTAATCCTGAATTTCTACTTTAAGTGAGCTAACTAATTGATACAAAATCCTCTTCTTAACCCCAGTTTTCATACCTTTGAGCAAATCACAATCACGACACTGAAGCAGGTGCCAGAGAGCTTTGTCATTTTTGTTATACACCCAGTCCAAGGGGACTGTCTTAAAGCTTTTGAGGACTCCAGCACTTTAAAGAAAGTGAGGCTTTGGTAGAGGCGTGGAAGAAACCCATCACTATTGCTAAAGACCATTTACAATCCAACTTAAATGAGTCTATGCTGACGCAATCCTTTCCCGAAGTGAGGTTGCATCAAGCGGACATACAAACCGTTTTTTGCCATCAGTGAGTCGTGGGATCCTTCTTCCACAATCCGCCCACCATTTAGAACAACAATGTTGTCAACATGCCTCATCATTGCTGCACGGTGGGCAATAAGGATGGTTGTCTTGTTTCCCATAATCAGAGTATCAAGAGCCTCCTGAACCACCCTGCTTGACTCAGATTCAATAGATGAGCTTGCTTCGTCCAACAATAAAATGGGTGCATTCTTCAAAACAACACGAGCTATTACGATTCTTTGTTTCTGTCCTGGAGTTAGATCTACACCCCGCATCCCAACATGAGTATCATAACCATGAGGCAAGCTGCTAATGAAATGATGAGCATTTGCTATTCTAGCTGCCTCTTTCATTTCAGCTTCACTTGCATTGTGCCTCGCATATATTATGTTTTCCCTGATGGTAGTTGAGAATACAATTGGTTCCTGTTGGACAAGACCTAAGTGGTTTCTCAACCACCGCAAGTTGTATGATTTTAAATCTCGGCTATCTAGTAAAACCTGACCAGCAATTGGATCATAGAATCTCTGTAGCAGAGATATTATAGTACTCTTTCCAGAGCCTGAAACACCCACCACTGCCACAGTTTGCCCTCCATTGACTTTAAGGCTGAAATTGCTCAAAACCAAGATTTCTGGCCTGGTTGGATAAGAGAAATCAACACTTTTTAACTCGATGCTACCATAAACATTAGGAGGTTTCAGGGCTGAGTCATCATCTGGCTCAATTCGTGGTACCCGGTCAATTATCTCAAAAACTGATGTTAGAGATTTTCTTCTTTTCAGGATATAGGGAGCCAAACCAAAAGGCTCTACAAGAGCAAAAGTTGCAAAAGAAAATACCATGTATTCTTTGAGAGCTGTATGCAGATTCACATGCCCCCTTTTCACAGAAAGTGCAATGTACCAAAGGAGAAGAGCATTGCAACCAAAAAGGAGAAATTGTGAAAATCCAAAACCAAAACCAATGGCCATTCCATGGAGGAAACTCTTCTTGAATATCTTCCGCAGTTGCATTCTATAGAGCTCCATGACCTTATTTCCAGCACAAAATGCTACAACTGTGTAGATATTTCTAACAGCATCCTCAAGGACTAGAGATGCCTTCCTATGCATCTCCTGAATTCCCTTTGAAAATCCAGCAAGCCACAGTTTCTGTGAGTTTCAAGTTCATCAAAGTCAGGATTTCATTCAAAAATCCACATTGAAAGTAATAAATAGTAAAAGTTATTTTCAAATTATTGTGAAATAGAATATAGAGCATATAAAAGAATTAGATCTGCAGGAAGAAGATTTTCAAGTTCATCAAAGTTGTCCTATATTTCATCAACCATGTCAATGAATTGATTCATTAATATTAGAACTGATTTTTACATGAATTGCTTAGGATGTTTTTCATTGTAGCATTACATATGCATTGCAATGCCTTTGGAATTGAAACAAACCTGTGCTATTGCTGAAATGACGAGAACTGGAAGAGTAGCTAACGCTACGAGTGCCAACCGCCACTGCAGAATCATCCCAATAAGAACAGCAACAACCACAGCTGCACCGTCTTGAATTAAAATGGAAAGGCGATTGCTGAAAGCAGCACGGACAAAGGTAGCATCATTTGCCAATCGCATAGACAGGTTATCTGCACTATTTTCCTCTTCATCAAACCATCCAACTTCATTTCGAAGCATTGCTGTTAGAGAGAGGATGGGAGGGAGCAATTAGGCAAATAGAAAACCAGAAAGCATTCATACAACAGAGCCAAAAACACTACCAAGTACCAAGAAACCAAAAACACAGTTTGTTCATCTTTAAGAAGGGTAAAAGAAACAATATAAGCATTACCTGAAAACATCATCCTCCTAACACGTTCCGTCATTTTCTCTCCCATTATACCAAAATAAAAGTGCTGCAAAAAGTTGGCAACTACCGTCACAATTCCCATGCCGGCAATGATTAAGCACCACTTGTCTACTTCACGTTCTAAATGATGTTCATCATCGATTCTATAATATGCTGTTACAATAAGTGCAATGACATAAGCAAGCAGAGGATTAAAAGAACCAAATACTGCAGCGCCTGTGCTCCCTAAAACAGCATAAAGCCACTCGGCAAGGCTAAGTTCAACAAGCCTCCAGCATGATGGTGGCTCTCGATGTTGTGTGTCCTTTGTTTCTCTCGTATTCAGAGGTGCATCATAAAACTCATTATGTGGTCGACTAAAGGTCTGTGAATGAGAACGTTCGTTTTTTGGATCAGATGTCAAGAGTGGAGAGACAGGTGATTCAGGGTCAGAACTGGACTTTAGACGATGTGCAGAATGAACATCAATCTTAGGTAACTCTGGGAGTTTCATTTCAAAACTATCCTGCCTTTTTATAGATGGCTCCTTAGTTGTTCCATCTAAGGTCATGCCATTTTCAACCATCAGCTCTGGTGGAGGACTCAGATTGTGGGGAGATTCTAGTGAATTAAATGTAGCATCAGAAGTTCGAAATGTATGGAGCACAGAAGTCCTTTGAAGAGATGGTGACTTGATCATTCTAGGGGATGAAGGTTCTTGGACACTGTGACTTGCTGAAGAATCTTCAATTTGGAAAGCTGCAATCTCCTTGTAATTTCTCATTGGCATCCTGAAAGAGGATAACAAGTGGAAGCATGATCAATATTTACAATGGCAATATGCTGGAAAAGCAACGTACATGGTGGGTGGGGGCACCAATGCACCTTCTAAAAGAATTAACATATCAAAGCAAGGAATCTCATCATCCTTTACAGGATAACATAATAATTTGTGTCAGTGAAATGAAAAATTGTACAAGCAGCACATCTCATCATCATTATAACAAGAATTAGCTACAAATATGGCACCTGCGTGGAAGTTTTGCAGCTTCTTCACATTTAAGAAGTTCAGCATAGAGGCCATCTAATGTTATCAGTTCATCATGTGTACCCATTTCAACCAGTTGACCTTCCTCCATTACAGCAATGTAGTCAGCATTCCTGATTAGACTAAGCCGTCTTGCTATAATGATAGTAGATCGGCCTAACATGAGAAGATCCAGAGCTTCCTGAACAGATCTTTCAGCTTCAAAATCAAGTCCACCAGTAACCTCATCAAGGAGAAGGATAGATGGATTGGAAAGAACAGCCCTAGCAATAGAAAGCTTTATTTTTTGCTCTTCAGTCAATGCTAGACCAGCTCTGCCCACCTACAAGAGGTAAGAATTTTACAAAATAACAAAATGTAATAACTAAGGCCACTTGGCAGAATCCAAAAGAGAATACACCTCTACACATACCTGAGTGTCATATCCTCTCTCAAGTGAGCTAATAAATGTATGAGCATGAGCTATTTTAGCAGCTTCCTCAATTTGATCAAAAGTAGCATCGCGTCCATATGCAATATTATCTCTGATGCTCAAACTTAACAAGGCAGGCTCCTGGGTTACTAAACCAATTTGGTTTCTGAGCCATTCCAGCTTTAGATTTTTTATATTTTCCCCATCTAAAAGGACTTCTCCTGCAAAAAATGGAAGTATTTAGAAAAGAAAAGAAGCCATGGTTTAGGAGAAAACAAGGAAAAATTGGAAGGAATTATACATCATTGACTGAATAAGGAATCAAAATCATAATAATACCTAATGTAGGATCATAAAACCGCTCCATAAGTGGAATGATACTACTTTTGCCAGACCCATTTCTGCCAACAAGTGCAACAGCCTTCTTTGATGGCACACTGAGGTAAAATCCACTCAAGATAGGAATTTCAGGACGAGAGAGATAACTAAAGTACACATTTCGGAACTCAATATTTCCTTGCACAGAAGCAAGGGTAATTCCGTCATTATTAACACTGGAGGATGAACGGCTTATCATCTCGAAAAGTCTGTATGCGGCAATTCTTCCTTGTTCAAATGAATAGAAGTTCGTTGCTGCCTGATTTAGCCCACTGTAACAGAACATCATTATATTTAAAATAGTTATGTAAAAGACATATAGAAACCCCAATGACAACAAGAATTAAAGAGGTACTTACAGGCCACTTAACATAACAGCAAAAAGGGCCGTAACAATTTCACCACCATGAGCTTTCCCATTAATGACCAGGATTCTTCCAACCCACAGTTGCAATGCACAGGAACAAATTGCAAGCCCATATGTAAAACCAAGTCCAAGTCCTTGGACCAGACTTATCAGTATACCATACCTCAATGAAGCTTGCAGAGATAATGCATATGAATATTTTGCCAATGTTTCATTTGTGAATGCATATAATGTCCTAATATAAGAGACTGCCTGCAAATACGTAATGGAATTTCCACATTCAGGTTTTTCAGCAATACAAAGTACAAAATACAAACTTTCATGCCATACTTTGAATTTTGGATATCTATGCTGCATAATACTTCTCATTAGTAAAACAAAAATTATTGATAAGTGAACACACTAAGTGTACAGTATGGAACTCTAATTCAGAAAGACTAGCCCTCTATACCATAAGAAAATTCTTTTAACCTCTAAGAATGAGCACACATACAGAATATGAAGACAAAACACATGTTTAGTATCATTTAAATAAGAAATCAGAATCCTTATCCTTTATCATTCATTAATTAGACTTCGGTAAACATTATAAAAAGAGAATCAATCATTTAAATATATACTTTATAGTTTCTATAACATCTCACCTGCTCTGCAATACTAGCAGCTTCTGCATATGCATCTTGGATGTTCTCTGCAAGTCTGTGTAAAAATATATTTGATATTCCTCCTGCTGCAACAATGAACGGACCAGTACCTAAAGTTATGAGTGCAATTTGCCAACAGTTAACAAATCCAATCACAAGACCACTGAAAAATGTGGCCATATTGTGGATATAGTTCCCCACCTGTAACAATGGAGACAATATAAGAAACTTGCAAACTAAAGCAGGCCATAAAATAAAAAAAATTAAAATAAAATAAATTTAAAAAAAAAAAAAAAAAAATCAAGTCAGAAAGCATATTATCATAAAGAAACCAAGTCAGAAAAAAATGAATTACAGGAACAAGACACTAATGAAGTTGAGCATACTTTTTCACTAAGAGCTGATTGAATAAGCAGCACATCACTTAATACTTGGCTCACAATATCACCATTGTTTCCATAGGTATCAAAAAAGCTCATGTCTTGGTTCAGTAATACTTCAACATATTTTGATCTTATTACAGCAGTCTGTCGTTCTCCAGTAAGAATCCAACATGATACCTCTATCATAAAGAGAGTAGAGACCAATTAGAATCACTTATAATTAAAATTGCCCTTTTGGTTGAAAAACAATATGACAGAACAGACCACAAAACCTAAAATTTAGCTTACCTATCCAACCAGCAACAAAAACTCCAGCAGCAATATAAACAATGGTCAAAGAAAGCTGTATGATAAAAATTATGCACAAATTACAAAACCAGAATAATCAAAGGAATTAAGAAAATAAGAAGGAAATGCATAGGTGAATCAAATTGAATGTGAACATCACCAAGCCAAGAAGAAAGTTAAGTTTTCATCTATTTGCTCTGTTTTCACAGGACGGGGTGAGCGGGTGGTTAAGATCTACTTCATAATCTTTTCATTAGTCAATATTGCAAAATGATGCCAACAAAGAGCGGAGGTACTTATGCTACTCTATTTAGAAGTTTCCTTTCCTTTTACATACTATGAAAAAGTAAAAGTTTTCCTACTCCCTAAAGTTTTCAATTAGGGCCATCCAATCCACGAAATTTATTAGGCAATGTATGAAACGAAGAAAGATTTCACTTGGAATCATTTCACAACAGGTGCTGTTAATATTTAACAATAACTAGCTTCAATAGGCATTCTTGTCTTAGGAAATAAGGATGGATCAACAAAATGGAATGTAGGATAGGTAGAAAGAACGAAAATAACATGAAAAGAATTCTTCAATTACAAACATTTGAAGAATGTTATTTACAAATCTCTGTTTCCTGTTTTCCAATTTTCATTTTCCATTTTTAGTTTAGAAAACATGTTTACCAACACTTATTTTTCAAATTCACTTAATACAAAAATAACACATTCAAAATTTCAAATGATTTTTTATACCCGATATTTAGAATATTTTCAAATATGTTCGATTTGAGCGAAATATATATAATTTTTTACTTTTGAGTCTAACATATATGAAATTTTAATATACAATATCCTGACCATAATATACGGATATAACATGACTAAAAACATCCAAACCAATAACCTATCGAGTTCACCCCAAATCTAAAAACTCGATTGAGATTTCGAATTTTAATTCAAATAACATGAATAATATCTAACTCTAGTTATGTTGGTATAAGTAAATGAGAATAGAGAAGATAGAAGATAGTGATAATTAAGAGAAGATAGTGGTGAAAGTAGTAATAGTATTGGATAAATACGAAAGACGATAAGGATGAGGGTGATGTGGGTAAGTGGTGGTAGGTGTAGATAGATAGGTAGGTAGGTGGAAGCGAAGGATTTATTAACCATTTGGAGAACAAGAACGAAGTGTTCTCTAGTTTTCAAAATGAAAGACTATGCAAGTAAACATATTTTTTGTTTTCCATTCTCTAGTTCTCGAAAACTAAAAAAAATTCTCGTTCGTAAGTGGCCCTTAATGTTTTTCTTAGTGGAGAGTAATGGCCCTACTAGAAAACACATTTATACCAGCATAATTGTTGGTAGAAAGTCTGGCACAGCTCAAGTTCAACAGTAAGTGAAGTAAACTACCATATTAGCAAATTAGATCCAGCTCTAGCCAAACAAACCAAATCTCATGGATGATTAATCACAATCACAGCCAGTTGACACCTATACTTAAGAAGACAACAATGGTGCAGATCTGATAGATTCAAGAAGCACTACCTCCACCACCCCACCCCGGGGTGTAAAACTACAAATAAAAGACCTGACAGTAGTTCAAAAAGTGAAAGAACATCAATGTCCCTCAGTGATGTCTGATGCTCTAATTATAATAAAAGTAGAATAAAGCAAGTATATACAAATAATTCGTGAAACAGACCTAATTTCCCCACAAACAATTTACATAGCAAAAGCTCACTACCAAAATCCTATCCTTTTGAAACATTGGTAAATGTCTATTGCATGGAAGCAAGATCATTTAAAGATCTTCTGCATCTGCTAAACTCTACTCACATCTTCCTCCAGCTTTTCAAATTTAGTTAAACTCAGAAGCTTTGTTAAAGTATGAAACATATAGTTTCCACTTCCTAATCATTGCTAACCCATTCCAGAAAAGGACAATTTGAAACAAGAAATCTATTCGGCATTTATTTTGCTACTAAAATTAAATCCTAGAAATTCCTGTAGAAATGAAAGCCCCAACCTTTTCTACAATTCTTACACGAAATAGCAAGAAATGTCAGATAACAGATAAGTAGGTAACATACTCCGAGGTATTGCTTACTCAGATTTAGTTCGGGGTGGGGGGAGAGAGAAAGCACTAAACTGAATCATTGGTACCTCAGTGAATCTGTCGAACAACTTATCAGGGGGCTCTGAACCGTGCGTGAGCAACTGAATAATTTTTGCAAAGTAATGCAAGTAAACTACCAGCGCGGTGCCGTGGGCAGCTGCCGCAAGTGATCCAACCGCCATGAGAAACCAATCCAGGCGATCAGCACAAATAAACAGCTTGGAGAACGGCACAGCAGCCGGCGGTGGCTCGATCTCCTCAACCTCATCCTCAATCTCCTCCTCCATCTCAGGCGGGAGCACATCGCCGCCATTGTCCATGTACGGGGACGGAGACTCCGGCGGCTCCGAAACCTCCGACACAGGAGTCAACGGTTGTATGTGCGGCGGCGACCACCCAAACAATCCCCTCGATACCATCATCTTCGGCTCTTCGCAAGCACAAACACTAACTGTACAACTGAGATATATCACAAATCAAAAAACAAAAACAAAAATTCAAAAACCCTGGCTAAACCGCTGCTTCAAAACCCTAGATAAGCCGGCATTTTCGGACTATCCAACTGCTGAAGTAGTGAAGTGGAACTCGAACACGGATTTGATTCAGATCCTATGCGTTTGAAGCTGAAATGAGCTGAACTATGATGTGTCGCTGTTTCAACACCGCATACCGTAAACAAATTTGGTATGTATAATGTAATAAGAAATAGCATAACTGAGTCGACTCGGAGCGGTGGGGAGGGAGCGAGATTGACTCAGTCAAAAATGGCGGAGGGGGAGGGAGTTGAGTTGACCCGGTAACACACAAGATTCTGCTGCTTGTTACTGTTATGGAACGTTTGGTTTATAAACGGTAACCGAACGACGCCGTTTCTTCCCTGGAATAGACATCGGTCATCGGAGCTCTCGAGCTTGGAAAAAAGTGCTTTTTAGCTGACAAGTGATATACAGCTGTGGTTTACACTGAATATCCCAAGGGCTTTTCTGTTATTTCACTCGTAGCATGTAATAAAGCTCTTTTTTTCCTTTTTCTTTTTCCCTTCAAATAAAAGAAAGTATACCAATCCGCCGCATATGATAAGAATGGACGAACGGTACCAGTATGATGACTATTCAATTTAAATTCAAAGATTATTATATTATTTAAATTTAAAAATATAATAAATCTCAATTCTTGTTATATCACTGATTTATGTTCATTTTTCTGTTAAAATTTTTATACATTATACTATAAAAATTGTACTGCATAATTTTTTAGACAAAAATATTCATAAAGTTATAACTTCTATTATCTTTTCACATTATTATAACATCCAAATGAATACACGAATTTTATTTTCTTTACATTCATCAATGGTAAATTTAATTTTATTTAGATTTTAATTAAATGTTACTATAATTATATTTAATAATTTATCATTTCTAAAATTCTTACTTCAATAATATAATATAAATTCTACAACTATAAATAAATAAATATATACACACGCACTATTATTTAAAAAAAAAAATTAAACATATATTTTTGTGTATCGCACATATAAAATACTAATATACTTTATAACAGTATGGATATTACAAACACTTACCTTATCAATAATAGATATAATATAGACTCAAAAAAATATTATTGAGCAAGTAAAACGTGATTTTCTATCTAAAAATTAAATATTAAAGCCTAAAGAGTTCAAGTACAACTTTACAATTAATTAAAATTTTAGTTTAAACATTAAAATTAAATATTTAATAATTAAAATGACTTTTAATAAAAGTATCAAATTCACATTTTTAAACCATGTTATTTTTAATATTTTTGAGTACAAGACTACAAGATGTAATAATGATGTTGGCTGAACTGAAAAGAATTTAAAAAATAAAAAATAAAAAATAAAAAATTGAACTATCCATTCCATTCATAGGCAATGCACCATAAGGGTATATGTCGCTTGGTATTTAAATTGAGTGAAGTTAATGCTGCTATAGAGAACAATTCAAACACATGAAGTGACAGACACACGTATCCTTGACATATCATTTAAGATGAAGACAATCAATGTCAAATGATGCATGGTAGAAGCCAGAACATGGAAGTTGCAGTGGATCGGGTTGGCAATTGGCTAGGGGAGGAAGACAGTTGTGAGAACGGATTTAGTCTGCAGAGTAGCCTTCAACACCTTCAGTCCCTGTCAACCAATAACAATAAAAACAACACAAACTAATTAAAGATCAAAATTATTTAATTGTCTGTATTATCAAAATAAAATGTTAATTATAGGCTACCCCTGGTTGTCATTTGTCATCTAGAATCATAAGGCTTTGCCTATAACCATAAGGTCACAAGTTCAAATCCTAACATTTTTTGTTTGAGACTTTGAGCTATGGGCTATTGTCTGCTAGAGTTTAAGGCTTTACCGACTAGAGTAACAGGATTTACTCGTCAGATTCGTACCCGAAAAAACAAAAACAAGAAAAGAAAACATCATCAGCATTTGGAAAGAATATATACCTCATCAACACCCAAATGAACATCCTTGACCTCGAGGGATCCGAAGTCCTTAATAACGTACTGATTCAGAACATTGATGGTAGAAATGGTGGAGTGCGGCATCACCTTCAAATCATCCATCACCATATACGTCACAACACCCTTCACAAACCCACTACTAATTCCATCCAGAGTAGATCCCCCGTCGTCGTTGTCTTTACCGGAGCAACATACTTCATCAGGCACTTTATGGTGAGCGCATTACACTTGGGACAAATGGATTCCGAGTCATCAGAGTAGTATGCGCAGCCCGTAGTACAGGTGTAAACCGTCCTGGTATCGGAAACGTCACCGGGAAGGAGGGGAACATCGGAAGAGAGAATTAGCGGCACTTTTGGGTTAAGAAGGATGTCTTTGTTTGCATCGGGTTGGAGGTACGTGTCGCTGAGATTTCGGATGCTGCCGTAGAGATTTCCAAGGGATCCGACCATGGAGTTCTCGCTTACAAGCTTGATGACGGAGCCTAGCGGATACAACAAGAGGTGGAACAAGAAATCCACAAATGATTTGTCAGCTTCGGCGAACAACACTCTTCTGGCCTTTGAGTCGATCAGAAGCTTCAAACTCACAGTTGAGGCAGCAGCTGGCATAAGATAAACGGATATTCAAGCTCTGCTGAATCTACTTCCATCATTATATTCATTCTCACATATTAAGTCTGATTCAACTCGACTTAGGTAACAATTTTCTTAGACAATGAAAACTATTCCTAACATTCGCATTCAACTAACACCAAAACTAAAACAACATACATTAACATAAACAAGCAACAACTTACATGATATTCTATACAGCCATATTTCTAGAACAGTGACGAAATGGTTCGAGCTACAAGGCCTAATTTATGTTATTCACATAAATCTTACCAATGTACCATAGCAGAGTGTATAAAAGTGATGGACAGTCAAAACGTAACTTCTATTTGATATTAACAAGTTTGAAATTGTATAATTAAGCATCTTAATTGATAGAAAGTTTGAAATTATATAATTAAGCATCTTAATTGATAGATACAACAGACAGAACTAAGTAGTGCAGTCGCGAGATTCGAACCCATGAGCTTTGGTCTAGCTCTGATACCAAATTAAAGCATGTGGTCCATCTCAACTAAAAGTCTAAGCTGATAGTTGGATTGCACATTAATGGCTATATGCTCAACACGCCCCCTCACGTGTGCGATGGGTTCCAAGCAACATGTGGACCGTAGTCGTTTATGGGTGGTGCTGAAATTTGAACTCATGACCTTTGGTCAGGCTCTGAGACCAAATTGAACCATGTGGTCCATCTCAACTAAAAGCGCCCCCTCACGTGTCAGGCAACACGTGGACCGTAGTCGTTTATGGGTGGCGCTGAACTCATGACCTTTGGTCTGGCTCAACACGTGGACCGTTGAACCATGTGGTCCATCTCAACTAAAAGCGCCCCCTCACGTGTCAGGCAACACGTGGACCGTAGTCGTTTATGGGTGGCGCTGAACTCATGACCTTTGGTCTGGCTCAACACGTGGACCGTAGTCGTTTATGGGTGGCGCTGAACTCATGACCTTTGGTCTGGCTCTGATACCGGCTCTGATACCAAATTGAACTCAACTAAAAGCCTAAGCTGATAGTTGGATTTCACATTAATGGTTATATGCTCAACACGCCCCCTCACGTGTGCGGTGGGTTACAAGCAACACATGGACCGTAGTCGTTTATGGGTGGCGCTGAGATTCGAACCCATGACACGCCCCCTCACGTGTGCGGTGGGTTACAAGCAACACATGGACCGTAGTCGTTTATGGGTGGTGCGGTGGGTTACAAGTAACACATGTACCGTAGTCGTTTATGGGTGGCGCTGAGATTCGAATCCATGACCTTTGGTCTGGCTCTGATACCAAATTGAAACATGTGGTCCATCTCAACTAAAAGCCTAATGTAACACCCCCCGATTTTCATGCAATTTAAAACTTAAATATGCAAGACAATCTAACCACAATCATAAACAAAACACAGCGGAAGTCTAAATATATATTAAGCCAGAAAAAGGGAGTGCTATGCCACGCTCACACCATAGTGAACGCACAGGCAAAACTACTGTCAACAATCTAAAACATTGTTTAACATAAGGGGCACACAGGCCCAAAACACATCTAACACGGTCTGGGAGACTAAACTAGCCATCACTATCGCGCTTGCCACTACTCGGGACCTGAAAAGCACATAAATAAATGAGACGACACCGGGTCAGCGAATATTGCTGGTAACCCATCAATACGCGTCAATATCATATATATAGATAGTTAATACAAAATCATTTTCGAAACGGGATACAATATATATTTCAGTTCAAAATCATCAAGAGAGAAGTCGACTGCAAAGACTCTATTTCACTCTCAATCAAGACACGGGAATCAACATCCAAAGGCAACATAAAGACACGAACAACAATAGAACACTCAACACGCACAAGATGAAATCTACTGATCACAAAGCAGAAATCATCAAGGCAAAGACAACAACAACAACAACAAGTACAACTCGAGGTGTATTCTACTGATCACAAAGTAGAATACCACTCGACATACTCAACAGATAAGGATAAACATCCACATATTGGCAACACATGCCATCGTGACAACACATGTCACAATTTCCACAATCCATCCTTATGCCCGGTTCCGACCTTATGACTACCTCCAACCTTATAGCTAGTTCCAACCATTACCTCCAAGACCCCTGTACATACAAGTCCAACCTTATGCCTCCGGGAACCGTCGTTCCCCACCTATACCCACCAAATCAACAACCACCGATTTCATAGTACAAGAAGGTACCGTTCAATTCACACGGCCTGAAGCCACCCCACACATATGAGCCTATAGCCCAGTTCATAACTCCATAATCACGTCATGGCCACCACGAGGACCACTGCCGTACCTTGGTGACTAATGTCCCATACCATTAATCGTGCAATCCAGGTACAGCCACACACACCACACCATAATAGGAATAAATCAACGGATTACAACGAAGATATGAAACCATACTCAACAAGGAAATGATCACAATCCGACAACAACGATGATCAACACAAGTCATCACCCACAATAGGAAAGAACAAACCACACACGCTAGCATTTCAACACCGAACTAGCATGCTTATCAAACGGGTAAACAAAACATAGTTCCGAAGAACATACAAGACTCATCATGGTTCAACGAATCACAAGGTTGAACACTTAGCACGATTCAAGACACCAAAACCTACATGGAATCTTACCACATAGTTCTAGACATACTAAATATCAAGAAGACACTCAAATAGTTCCACCAAAGAACATCGGGAAGTCAAAACATCAAATACCGAGTCAAAAGAATCAAGGGGAATAAATCCTCACACAAACACCATTGTACCCCACGGGTGGGGCCACGGGTGGACCCCCAC